GATACATGGCAAATTTAGAAATTAAACCATAATGCTATGCAAACGACTGCATAACCTCTATGCCTGAAGTTTAACGTTCTGGATAGTTGGGTGAACCCTGTCAAATCATAGCTGCCTCCACAGAGATGGCCTAAGAAGAAGTGGATACTCCTAAAGGTATCGCAGTAGCAGAAACCACGATGTAGCTGCCTTCCCAGTGCTATCAACAAGCCCCAACAATGGGTTGGAACAAAACATAGTTAGAACCTTGGGTAACATATGAATTGGAGAGAAGACCTAGAATGGTAATCCTGACCCATCTTGACGGAATGCATCCATTGCCAAAGCCCATAGGTGAGGTACTGAAGGCCAAATTTCCAATAGTTGGGTGTTCTAATGAAAGGCCAACCCACAAATCAGAGTTGCAAAATGAAAGCCACCACCAGAACCTTTCGATGCAGCATCTATTCTGTTGGAACAATCTGTTTGGGTTGAGACATTTGATCTGCTACTGCAGTAACCCTTGGAACATGGCAAGCTAAAAGTGGTCCTGAGAAAGAAGGTCCAAGATTTGAAAACAAGGAGCCATGGACCAAGTGTCTCCTTGATGAGTAACACAAGACACCTCCATGAAATTGTCAGAGTGAAGCCTGAAGATTTTCTCCATAAGCACAGACCATGCTTTTGGAAGAGCAAGAAGGACTAAAACAATGTGTAGGGAAGTCTCATTGTCCATGTGTAGACCCTGGAATTCCTGACTGTTGGTACATGCACCCCATTTCTTAAACGAGGCATTCGTGAAGAGAAGGAACCCTGAACAAAGGGGTGGTAAAGGAATCCATATATTAGGAGCACCAAATTTAAAACCCCCTCAAGAATGAAGAATGACCCTGACTAGGGAAACTGGGGAATCCAATGAATCGATCCTTATGGTTCCTCAGTCGCATAAAGACCATTAACCCTCTCACCCCAGGTATCCTTTACTGTGCATGTCACAAGGTTTGTGTCTTACATTAAAAATTTTATTTAACTACTTTTTGTTTATGTTATACCAATTAGTATAGCACAAAATCTAAGCTAATAATCCATATTTTAATAATATACAAGTTTTAAGTTCTTAATTCAACAAGGCAATACTTAAAAAAATCCTGAATTTCCCCTAGTATGATACATTTTCTTTAGGCATCTTCTTTTCTCTATTTTATCCCCCACCCCTCAAAAAAAGTATGAAATTAAATGCAAATTACTCACTATAAAATCCTCATTGCTCAGACAAACCACAATTTTTATAGCCTTCAATTTTGTTTGGTTACAGAGCTATCAAATAGAAAATCATACATACCCCTCTTGCCACATCCACTCTTTTAGCATTTGTTAATAGTTCTCTCAAGTTTAATTATAAATTATCTATAATCAATAGAAAGTCAAAGTTTTCATCTATCAAATGAGATATTCTATTACATTGTGTTCTGAACACAGAATAATCAATTTCACGTCTACTACAACTTTGGTTCCCACGGGAATCACAACAGCTAGCTTGGATGCATTTGTAATGGTTCTTGTCGCATAGTAAGAAAGCCAAAAAAATTGTGATTGTTAGAGGAAGTTGTCTGCCTTTTTGTATGAATTATTCATTTAAGTCTTTGTTGCACAATATCAGTACCATTGTTCTGATCCTAGTATGTATGGTAAATTATATACTTTGGGCAACTTCAATTTTTCTTGGGATAACCATATATCTAAACTGGCCTGCACAAAGGGTAAGTAGAGTTATCAAAACTTGCAAGCCATAGTCAGGAATTATAGAATATTCTCTGTTTATAGTGCATACAGGAAATAATGATATAATTAATGGCAGATCTCCAGAACAAAGCATATGCAATTTATGTTAACCTTTGCCTAGTAGTAATCTCACTAATTGCTTTTACTTTTCATATATTTTCTGATTTAGTACCAATGTCATAAATTTCATTCTTTTTCTTTAATCACACTATTGAATGAGTTCCCTTCTAAATGAATTATGATAACCCAAATGCACTCATTAAAATTAAAGGTAATTTATCATATATTTGCCTACTTTACCAATTGATCCACGTTATTCTGTAATATCTTAACATCCTCACTGGACTAGAAATATTCCATTTTACTAAGTTGCTTATCAATATCATTAATTTAAATACAAAAAAAAGGCAAAGATCCAAGCACTGACTCCTTGAGGCCCTCCACTGGTAACAAGAGTCCAGTTTGACAGGACTCCATTATTAACAATATTTTGCTTTCTCCCTTCCAACCATTATACAATTCAACTAGCTAATCTTTCCTCAAACCCTACTGATGTGACTTTCTTAGCAAATCATTTGTGTACTACTTTATCAAAAGTTTTTGAAAAATCTACATACACTAATGTCCAGATAACAAGTCCTTGAAAAAACATAACACATTTGTTAGGCAAACTTTCTCACTGGTGAATTAATGTTGTCTTTCTTTTATGATATAACATTTCATTAAATAATTTTGTAAAGCTTCTTTTATACTGTTTAGAATTTTTTCCACTACAGAAGTAAGACTAACTGGCTTATAATTTTAAGGAAACTCTTATTACCACTTTTGAAAACAGGAGTAACATTAGAAAATCTCCAATTCTCAAGCACCAGTTCACTGTCTAGTAACCTAGCAGAAATGAAAACAGTTTCTCATAAACCCTTTTGAATTTTATAAATTCCCTTTTAACCAAGTCTTTAGCTTTATTGAAGTTAGGTAAATCTTTCAACCTACCTGTCAATTCAAACTTCTTAAACTTATAGTATTTATCTCTCATTTTGTCCTTTATGTCTTTAGTAAGCCAATTAGACTTGATCTTCCCTGTACCCTTTTTCTGTTTTCAGGAACATGCTTATTTTGAATTAAAAGCAATTTATTTTTTACAAACTTTTCCACATCTATCTTGCATTATATTTTAAGTCATTATACCAATTCAGTAATGACATATCTTGTCATCATGAGTGGTTAAAAATAGACCTAAAATCCCCTCTCCCCAATTGGTCCTTGACCATTTGGAACAGAAAATGGTGACAGTCCTTTAGTCTGAGGGCTCATTACTCTGAAGGTCCAATAGTCTGAAGATGTAAATTGTTGTTTTTTAACAGTTAAAATGTTAAATTTATGAAACTTTAGGACAAAAACACACCAGGATATGAACTAAAAAGTTACAATTTCTCATGAATGGTTAAATAATGTTTATCATAATTTTCTCAAATGTTATTTTTTGTATGCATGTATAGTGTTAGCTGCAGAGCCCACATATTTATACATTAGGATTGAATTTTGAAATCTAGCTCTCTGAGAAAATAGACATTCAAGATTCTTATTCCATAGTGATGTGACAACAAATGTTATATCCCTAACTTATTAAACATGTTGAAAGCTTCCAGTCAGTAAAATTACCTTTACACTGAGCCAATGCAATGAGCTGTACACTACAATTTCAATAATTCTGTTGTATTTAAAATGAGAGCAGGCCATCAGGGGTGGCTGGTTCCCTGAACCCTGCTAAGATGTATCCTTTAAACTTTCATTTGAGATTGCATTCATATGTTATGGACCTGCAAGTTTCTTTATTAATTCAATTTTGTCTTTAATTGTGAAAACCAAAAATCCATGATTAATCTCTCCCTCAATATCTTACTCAACAAGTAATCCCATCACTATGTCTAAAAATTAAAGTTTCTTATAGTTATGACATAAGTATTCTTATTAGTAATAACACCAATTTCATTATACAATTTCTTATTGACCTCAACTATCTGATCTGGTGGTTAAAATAATTGTAAGGTAAAAACTTTCTACCCTTGAAACTCCTGATTGTAAAGCTTCTTTAACTACCATTTCTTACATCTTCAATACCAAAAGGTTGAAGTTCACCTCTTAAATAGAGTGCATTCTCATCATCTTTTTTAAAATGTCTATCATCATTATTAAATAACTTATATGTTTGAATTTCAAAATAATTCTTATTATTTATGTTTTCTAAATTAACTAAATTTCAGTAATTTCCATTATAATATTACAGACTTCCATTTCAACTAGAGTCCTACACTCATCCATTTTTTCTTAATAATACTCCTAACATTAGAATAATATTAATATCAACTAAGCTTAATTTTGATTTAAATCTACTACATGTATCTTTGAATCTGACACTTATCTTTAAAACTATTATTCAACTTATGCTCTAAATCTAATTCTAAATCATTTTCCAAACTCTTCATTGCAATAGCTATCATAACCCTGTATTTTTTATTCATAACTTTCCAAGGTCACTCACCACAAAGTTTGGTTTGATCTATCTAAGAATCTTTAATGAACATTTTTAGTTTTCCCACACTCCTCATTGCAATAGCTATCATATCCCTGTGTTTATTTATTCATAACTTTCCAAGGTCACTCACCACAAAGTTTAGTTTGATCTATCTAAGTATCTTTAATGAACATTTTTAGTTTTCCCACACATCCTCGTGTTACTTACCTTTTTCAAGTGTAGCCCATCTCTAGCTTAATATAATTAATAACTCAACCTTATCATGAAAATTATCCTACACGTCCAACCAGCCCACCTATTGCTAAGCTTATGCGTGATATTTCACTGGAGCTTTTGTTCCTGCTAATTAATTCATTCCAAGGCAAAGGCAAAACCTAAACTGAAACTCGTAAAAGAGCATTCTTGAAAGAATCACTTGTTATTTCTACCACTTCGTTTTATTTTACAATGGGAAGGGGGAGTAATTAGTGGTTTTTCTTTTCCCCACTATTACTAGTTACTACATAGTACACTTTACAATTACAAATATAATCACAATTTACAAACGCAAAGTATGAATAATGAAGAACTCGTAATCATATGAAATCTCAAGCTTTGGCCTTCAAGTTCAAGGCCATTATTAATGTAAAATTAAAACACCAATGTATGAAACACTGGACTCGATTTTTAGTTTACTAATTAGTCTGGTTAATTCTCAACTTACGTGATACTTTTGTTTCTTGAAAGCATATGATATCAGCGTTGAAGCTATCAAGCGTCTCTTTTAACGGGCGTTTTAAAGTGCGTAATCCATTAATGTTCCAACTTAAAATTTTCATATTATAAGGAAAATTACTTTAAATACCATAAGGACTTCATTTAACTTCTTATCACACTGACTAGTACTATTTTACTCGGGTTGTATTAAATATTACTTCAACAGTTTAAAGGTATCAAAGCTAAATCATAAATGATCTACAATCTACACTAAAATGAGCAATCTGTTTTCGCGCAAATATATGTCTGGGCCCTCTGTTGTTGTTTCCCTGTTTTAATAAATGATTAAAAGTAATAACCAAATATGTGTTTTTAGGTGATAAAAGTTAGAGAGATGAAACAAGTCTTGATTTGGAATAACTGTTAGGTGTATCATCGCGCTTTGTCACGTTAAGTTTGATGGCTTATAACCCCTTACATTAAATGTCTTTACAAGCTTTCAACCGGTTTACTGCGATCATCATCAGACATGGATCTTCGTAGTACCTCCCAATAACAGTTCAGTAACACTTATAGTTTCAAACATGAAAGAAAAGATGAAAAAGTTTCGTTTAGCTCTGGGTTCAGTTGTCTGACCAGTAAAGATTCCTTTATTGGTAGAGTGATTTTATTCTCTGCTGAATAAAGAATGTTGAAGTCTGTATCATTAGCTGTCCCGCCACGCATGTTGTTGTAATGTGGGTAAATGCTCGGCTGATTTTCTTCGAATCGCTAAGTGACGTATCGTGAAATTAATATACACTAGTTTACAACAGTTACATGAGAATTTGTAAACGACGTACAATCGTCATAGCATTTGAACTGTATCTTTCACCTTCAAATCAAATAAAACAGTTTTCTGTAGTAAAGCCCTAACCTGCGCAATTAATGATAAATTATCACAGAAAAATGAT